ATAAAATGTTAAGTTGGTACTTTCATGTCAATTACAGACTTGTGACTGAAAGTTCCTACAAACTAAAATTTTAAGTCTTCACATCTTGGTTTAGTTTCAAAAACATGGGAGCCAAAGTTTGGCAAAAAAAAAAAAATTATTTAAATAGTTTAAGTCTTAAATTTAATGCTATAAAACTTGATGTCTTAAAATTTAAAGTTTTGCCCAACTACAGGCCAAATCCATTCTAGGATTTGGTTTATATTAGATTATATTTATAATGTATTAGACCATATCTGCTGCTATATTATTTTATCAGTGGGGAAGTTTTAGACCCGACAGAATAATCAGTAAATAAACAGGAAACTGAGTTTAACTCAGGATTCAGCTTTATTGATGATTTCCACCAGGGGGCAGTGTTACAGAGAAATCAAGACTTCAGATCTGTAAACATCAACAACGTCATCATTATTCCTCATTATTCCTCATTATTCCTCATTATGCCAACATCCTGACTGTAATGAGGAAAACCAGAGATGATCTGGACCCTCAGGCACCATTAAACAGACATCCTGAGATTTTATTGTAAAAACAAAAATCACAGAAAAGATAAGAAGTTCAAATGATTATGATGAGAATGAAAACCTCAGAATTTCTCCAAAACCAAAAGTTGCTAAATTAGACAAAACTTATCCTAAAGGTAACTTTTATATTCTTCAGTAATTAAAGCTGACAAAGTTATATAAAGTTAAAATGGTTGCTAGTTAACATGGAAGTTCAAATCAAATCTTTCAGCTCATGATTTATTTTCACCAATAACTAAACTTTATTCCCTCCTCCACTAATAAAGTAGATCCTGTTACCTGGCAGAAAATCCTCTAAATGATAAAAACATCAACATATTGTGTTTCATAAAAGCCTTTAAAAGTCATAAAATAACCACTTTCCATATAAGAGACAATAATAAGCGAATAAAACCTGTTAACCTGTGATGAACCTGAACATGTTTACATTTACATGATTTAAATCTCACTGAACACCTTTTGTTACAAATAATGGTTTGATCAAACATTCAATCAGTTACAATGTGGGATTCACACAGATGGTCACTTTCTCATTAAGTTAAAACTGAATTGTTTCTGATGGATTCCAGTCAAATCCTCCACCTGTCGCTTTGTGAGGATTGAACTAGGACAGATTTCTGTCTGTCAGGTAAATACGAGTTTAGAGAAAGTTTCTGTAATCAGATTATTCAACGTGTGAAAAATGTTTTCACTGTTAGGAAAAGTAGCAATAAGTTCAATAAAAAGCAGGATTAAAATGAAAGCGCTTCTTTAAATCTGTCAGTTTTTAGTAAATGAGGCTTCAGTTAAAGCAGAGATCTGGAATCTGGTCCTCAGGACCAGATTACAGATCTCTGCTGTAATCTGGTCCTCAGGATCCTCTGCTGTAGGTTCACCTGACTGACCAACTGAAACTCTGACATGCTGAGGATGAAACATAATGACTGGAACCAGTTGGTCAGAGACCTGAGGACCAGGGTCAGCTACAGCGTCCAGAGACTGTCGTCCAACTGGACCTGTGAGAGTTTTACTGAATGAAACCAAAACCATCTACACTTTAAATTCATTTAAAACTAAAACATCATCATGAGATCATAACTGAGGCGTAAAATCTGGGTTTTACAGTAAGGTGGAGAAGCTCAGGTCTTCAGGATCCTGCAGCTTTTAGATGCATTTTTCCTCAACAGACCAGAACCAAACGGCCCTCTGGTTCCCTCTGCAGCAGAGCTGGTTCTGATCGGCTCATTGGATCCGGTTCTGTTAGAGCAGAGATGCATCTGAAAGTTACAGCAATGTGAGGTTTAGAGCCACAGGTGGAAACCCTGAAGACAGAGTTTATCCTGAGTTTATCTCTGATTTTTATACAGCAGATCAGTTTTTACTCCAACACCATAAAACCTTTTGCTCTGTTTGGACTCTGCTAACATTTTAAATGTCTTCACTTCCAGCCAGTCTCATCTGCCTGAATCCCACATTTTCACTCCGTCTGTTTCTACATTGGACTGAAGGAAGCGAAGTTGGATATGTGATAAGCATAAAGCCCTGGGTGCAGCGGCTCAGTGAATTTGGCCCTGAAGGTGTACATGTGAGTCAGAGCGTCAGAGGAGACCTGGTAGAAGGACAGGGAGCCGCCCGGCCAGTCCAGGTACACCCCCACCCTGCTGCAGCCGCCAGCAGGGACAGAGGTGCTCCAGATCTTACCGTTGTGCCAAGCGCTGAGCTCATTATTATGAACACCAAAGTACCAGGATGCAGGATTCTCTCCAAAGCTGCTCACAACATCCTTTCCTTTCCTTTGCATGCTACTGTATACAAGAGCGACCCCGACCTTATTGGGATGTCCGGTGCTCCACTCAACCTCAAAGTAACGGCGCCCTGTCAGCGCCAGCTCAGACAGACCCTGGGTGAAAACATCAAATCTCTGGGGATTATCAGGATAGGCCTGCTCGGGCCCACATGTCGCCTTCCTGTTGCCATCAGACAGGTTCAACCAGCCGTTACATGTTTTTGGATCCAAGGTCAGGCTGCAGTGATCTGTTGGTAAAAACAATAATCAGTTACTTTTCCTCACATCTCCTGCAGATTAAAACAGAACCACATGATTTCATATCTAATATGGATCTGATTTAACAACATCTTGGAGTTTGTTAGAGACTGTTGAATAAAATCTGCTGGTATCTGAAGAAGCCTTACACCAAGCCAGGTCTCTTCGGTCTAACGGAGCCGTCACATCAGGAACGTCGGGCCGTGAGAAGTCTTGGGTTTTCAGACTCCCATCCCTGAACTGGTAGACGGTTCCTCCGGTGAACCTTTTGTTTGGCAGAGCAGCTGCCAGGAACCGAAACCTGCGGCTGCCCTTCAGCTGTTTGGCCGCTGAAGTGAACTCTCTGGCTTTTTTCCTCATGTTGGCCACGACTTCATTGGAAAAGAACCACTGGTCCTTACTGGGCGGAGCGACGCTGGGTGGAGGTTTGGTTTGTTTGCTCACATAGCTGGTCATCTGGTCCAGGAAGGGGTCGTCGGTTTCCACAGAGGAGAAGACAAAGCAGAAGAGATCGGCTACGCCTGCAGCTAGAACCTGTCGGTCCAAACTGTTCTCATCTGGAACGGTCGGGATTCCCTCCATGATGTCCAGGCAGGACATGATGATGTTGATTTCTCTCTCTGCATTATCCAACCAGGCGTCTAAGGTTGTGTGATTGAATGGAGACTTCTCCTGCTCATCAAAGAGCTTTTCCACACATCTTTCATCTTCTTTCCCTTCCCGGATGAGAGGAATCTTCTCCTGCATGGCCCGACTCAGGTTGGATGTGTAGTCTTTACAGTTATCTTCAAAAACCTTCAGCTTTTTTCTAATTTGTGGAAAACTTTCCACCACTTTCTCTTCCTGGGCCTCTCTGCATCTCCTTTCCATCTCTTTTATACTTTCCAGAGAATTACAGAATTTCCTGACCAGACCAGAGGAGATGTTTTCCTTCAGCTCAGCTCCAGTAACGCCCAGATCCTCCAGAGGAGTCAGCCACACTTTGACAGGAACCGAGTTCTTCTTAGTTTCTCCGAGGAGCTCTGGAAGCTTGGAGAAGGTCGTCACCGCATCTTCAAACGTGGTCGGGTTCTTCTCCAGAATAAAGTCACCGTAAAATTTACAGGTGAACTTGTTGATTGCGTCTCTTTCTTCTTTGGTCAGCTTCATTTCTGCTCTGGCCTCAATATTAAAGGAGGGAATTTTGTTGACCGCAGCAAACATTTTGGCCTGAACGGTCTCAACGCTGCTCGACTCCAACTTCTCACTGTCGAACACAAAGAAAGCATTGGCCCCGTAGAGGATGCCTGTGACCACATGTGTTGCATCACTTTTCTCAACAAGATCTTTGTCCTGAAGCTTCACAGCTTGGAAAAGTGAGAGATTCAGCCGGTCATAAAAAGTTGTGGCTTTGTACTGGAAGGTGACTCTGCTCTGGTTCTTGAGCTTCTTGTTGTCATTCAGAAAACCAGCAGATCCCCCGACCTCAACGAGGCCCCCCAGGAAACTGGCTTTGAGAGACAAATTCACATCCAGCAGAGACGACTTGGACTCAAAGGAGTCAGAGGTGCTGATTTCATAGGAGCTGCTGGGATGAACCTGACTGCTGAGGTACGAGCTGATAGTTTCTCTTTCCCACAGAGTGAAACCTGTAAAAAGAGAAATTTCATTTTCATTATAAATATACAGCACTGCATGAAAGCTTGTGAACATTGTTGTCTAAAGAAAAATTATAATAATCATGTGAAATGAACATCCAAAGCTCAAACTGTAAAGCAGACCCACCAAATAAGGAACACAAAGAACAAAAAGATACATATTTTCATAATTTATTCAATAAAAGTATTTTATCTGTCAAAAACAGAAAATCTGCCAAGGAGGCCCCTTGCACAAC